ACCGTAAATCAAAAAAGGTTTACTGTTATTTAGTTTGGTTCAAAACGTACAAAATCTTCATTGCTTTCGCTGTAATTTATTTTTTTATTATTTAGGGAGCATTATAAATAGTTATGTTTAAAAAAAAAACAACAACTACTATTGTTATAAATAACACATTCAATTGAACTAAACTATTCATGCCTATTTGAATATATTCACACATGGCTTGTGTATATCGTATATATACATATATATTATTCATACCTTCGCAAGCAGATTTTGACATCAAATTTTGGGGTAAAAAAGTGCGTTTGTCCCATTGTTGGAGTCATTATATTCTGCCGCAACAACTCTGGCTTGTAATGTTTTGCGCGTGGCCAGGTGGTTAGGGCGCTCGACTCGAAATCTTAGGGTTGCGGGTGTAGCTTTACGCGAAATTCAAAATAAACAAATGTGTTGCGCTTAGAGACTACTTAATGAGTTATTACTTTTAATAAAACTGTATTTATGAAAAAAAAATGAAATTACTTGTACACAATGGGTAATATCAAACTGTACATTGTATTAAAATTTACAATCTGTCCCTTCACTGAAGATCCCTTATTTTAAGCCTTGAAATGTGTAGTATTAGTTTTCTTTTCTGTAGTTTTTACTTAAGCCTAATCTGTGCTTATAATTATGATTTCTTGAAAGAAAAAGAAATCACAGATTTCATAGTGTAATTCTAAACCCTTATAAATCAATACAAAACTTGACTCTCTTTTTGTTTTTTCGGTTCGATAATTATAGTATACCGAGAAAATAAGAATCACACGTACGAGTAATTCAGGTTTGGTTAGCCTGGAAGGCCACTTCACCGTCTTGTTTTCCCTCTGCCACTAGGCAACGCTGAAATAAACACAAGTTTTTTTATTCTTGGAACAGATGCGAAATTTCTTGAACCCATGTTACACGTGGCTAACAGTTACTTTGTCCAACAACAGGTAGTGCGTTTTCAAGAAGAGTAACTTTAAAAATAATCAGTATCGTATTAGTTAAGTTTATAAAAAAACACGATGTTGAGCTTATTCAAATTATACGGGCTACATGCATGTGTAGTGAATGAAAAAAAAAAAACACGTTAAAATGTATAATCTGGTTAGTTACTCTTATATTTGTCATCATCCGCTTATGAACTCGGTCGGGAAATTGGTGGTTGGTGTATTGAACTTGGGATCCAAGGGTATCAAGTTCGCGACATGGTGTTACCAAATACGTTTCGCACTTTCAGCTGAGAGTGCGTTATAAGTGTGACAATCAATCCGGATATTTGCTTCAGGCAGCGTGTGCTGCTAACTGGTTGCATTCGCCTGTGGTCCGCAATTTAAAATTAGAGGTCTCTGAGCTGACCATTTAGCCCACTATGTGCATGAACTGTCGTTTAAGTGAACAAACAGATAAGCATACTCCCGATAATTATACATTTTAACCAAGCTAATAATTTAGATCGGATTTTGACGACATTATTGCCAACTGAATTAGTAATTCATTTGATCTTTAAAAACAGTAGAGAATAACTGGGTAACGATACTTTGTTTTTTAAATTATAATAAATATATACATCATCCTCAGGAGTAACTTACAAGACTATTTTATAAAGGTTTTATTGTGTAAATATAAAATGTTGTTTTTAATTATTTATTATAATTTAAAATAATTTAAACACAAGTGCCGGTAGTGCATATTGATACTTTGTTTGTTTGTAATTAAGCACAAAGCTACACAGTTGGCTATCTGTACTCTGCCCACCACGGGTTTCGAAATCCGGATTCCAACGTTACAAGTCCGCAGACATACCGCTGTGGGGCTAGCAACGATACCTAAATAAAACTGACTTATGTACATATATAAATAAGACGTGAGATAGATGCAGGATATATGCATCACTTGCTGATGTCACTTCCGGTAGTTCTCTGAAAGGTTTCTGCCATGTGACACAGCATGTCTCTAAGTGAATTATACATTGTCATGCAGCTTCAAAACATGTAGTGTTCAACAAAAAACAGACACTTAGGGCTTCCTTTCATGATGAGGTAGCAATTTCAACATGGTGGAAGAATGACCACCGTAGAAAAACGTTAACGGGTTTTTCTGTCAAAATGTTCAAACATTCTTACACCAATTATAATAAGTTTACTAATTATACACCATTCTACAACACATCTCCGCGTAGATAGTTATGCCTATATAAACAAATCTCAAGCATATGAATTAACATGGTCAAAAACAAAAACTTCGCCCTCACCATACAATTTGTTATTGTATTGTCATCAGGGCCCCGGGGGGGGGGGGCAAAGGGGCAACTGCCCAGGGGCCCGGGCGAGTGAAACCTAGTTATGCCGTAAAGCCCGCAAAGCATCTTTAGGCTATATCTTCATTTAATGATAAAAACCATAGTTTTTGGCTTTTCTTTGCATAC